AGGGTGGTATATTTCACTTGCTGTCGAGTGAAGGGCAGCTGTACAAAAAGTGGGTTGTCAATGTGGATGTTGGTCGCTGGTGTGCCCAATGCAATGCATAAAGTAATGACAGCATACTCTTGGCAACATTAGAAGCTTTCTTACCGGAAGTAGGTGTCCAATAACTGTCACTGATCACACACTACAGTCTGCAGTCCGAGGCGTTACGTTCTATGTCTATGTGACCGACTATTGCAAGGTCACATGTAGTAGTTAAGACCAAGGTTACCGGGATTTGGAAGCTGACGATCGACGATGCAAACCATTGTGATTTATTCAAACTATGGCGTGTTACTCTTATCAAGTTAGTTTGTTGACAGTAGTATACGCATGTTTACCCCATATCAGCACACGCGATATGCGGCTCAGGGTCACACAGATAACTTGAGTAGTCCCACTCGGACGAAGTCTGAAAACGGATACTTATAATTTAACGTTCGTTCGTCCGTGTGTCCTTGTGTTCGGTCGGCAGTATTTATACATGTCAGCGCAAATGACGTTCAAATTTCACGTCGACATTTTGGAGTACATATATACACTGATTTGTGTCGTGTTGCATTTATAGCTGCCGAGTGACTATTGCTGAGAATTCATCAAATTTAACTTTTAAACATAATTTTCTGCTAATCCCGAAGCTGATCTCGGAGTGTATTGATGAATTTCATTAAAACTTGTTACGCACATTTGGCAATAAGGAATCCTGCACGTCACTTGGTTTCGAAGATTGGATTCAAAATGACCAACTGGCTGTCATTTTGTTTTGAATGAATACTGCTAATTTTGTAGAAATATCTAGACTGGTTAACTTCGCGTTTACTGAAAGTCATGGCCATGCTGAAACAGTAATTCAATGCGTTATTAATATGTTTATCTACTGTACACGTAACATACATCACACAAAATATATAACTTTCATTTCAAAATGTCATTAAAACCTTTGATTGCGGGAAAAATGAATGACACACTGCTAAATATGCATGTCAACCATGCTTACAAATTACAAAATAAATTCTGCGAAATGTAAATTTAGGCAGTGACTACTGTTTTTCTCCTCTTTTAACAGTGACATAATATACATGTATTCAGGAATGGTGATGTGTATACGATATACTCTTACTTCACTAATTTCATGTATAGGTTATCGGATTAGGAAGCTTACTATTGTACTAAATCTCTTAACAATCTAGTCTATATTGCATTAGTCTTTTCACACGAGTTCCAATCTGTGTATTTCTTTCGACTGACGCTTGTACAGAATAAACCATAACTATTTCCAAAAATAAATAGTAATAAATTTAACTAATAACACACATAAATATTGTACGAATCAAACAAGCCCAGAATACAATCTACTATAATTATGCATAATCAAAGGTTGTGAAATCAATTAATAGTTGAGTGTAAAGCAAATCAATGTTCATACGTTTGTGGTCACAATCAATGATCACACGATGTTCCACCCACAGGATTGTTTCACTACTTAACCAAAACTAGGGTTATTAAGGACAGTGTTCAAAATAAATGACAGACAACAAGGCATTGTAGTAAGCTTGAAACAAATTAATGTTTCTATTGAGCTCCGGGTTCGCTATCACGGTGTTGTTGAAATTGAAAAATACATGAGCAAAGTAGTCTAATTTTCTTATCACTGAATGTAATGCTGGTAGCACTTAGGGCAAGTAAATATTGACATCAGCGATAGGTCAAACTGTGTTGACGTGGCCTTTGCCGTTCGTACTTTGGAAGTCGACTGTCTACGTACTATACATTAATTAATTGTTAGGTCTCTATCACATCACTGTCAATAATTATATTACGTTTTTTGTGTGAACGCAGCGACGCACGTTTCTTGATTGTCTTCAATTTCAATTGTTTGATTAAAATGCTAGTTGCTTTTGAAATAACTTTTCCACATTACGACTACATAAATATTAGTTTGTTGTGTACCGTGTTAAGCAATTAACATCTTCTTATCGGAAATTATGGAATATGACTGACCACAGGCTGGAAATCATATGTAAATATCTCCAGGATTTGTAAGAGCGTGCAATGTTGTGCTCATTGAAATTGACCAATTGGGTATCTACGTTTGTTCGTATTAATAATTAAGAAAAAATGTAATCAAATATTTTTGTTCATAATAAACTATAGATGAAATTACCTATTTTCTTTTCAACATTATGTTATGATTTTTACATTCTACCGCTAAAAGAAATCATTTGCCAGTATAATTGTAGCAGAGTGAACCATCGGGCTTAAATAAGTTTATTGAACTTAAAGTCATAGTGTTTTCTTGTGAACAGCTGTACTGTGTTAGATGGGTAACTACTATTTCACAATATATCCAATGGCCTTTGACGGGAAGGAGTAATGTCTCAAGCATTTATATAGAGGATTTCAATGTAAAACTCAACGTAATTGCACCCTCTATTAAAAGGTCTGTGCAGTTTTAAATATTTTTTAGTTGATGAGCATGACACTATCTATAACTCAAATAAATCTAAATCGATGCACTTCTATGGTCGCAATTGATTACATATTTGCCCACCATTGCATTTATATAATGCAAATAAGTTGACTTTGTTTACCAATATAATTATTTAGGACATAAACGACTCGTGACATAAAACGTAAGACAATACGGATATTGATTGTCAGAAACGTTGTTTCTATGCGCGGACAAACATCATGCTACCTAAATTCAGGACCTGTAGTATTGAAGTCAAACTTTTGTTATTTAAAACTTTCTATTCTGGTCCGTGGTGCTGCTAGTTATGGTGTATGTATAGCAAAAATCACGAGTTAACGCACACAGATCAGTTATAATAAAGCTTTTCGTAAACTGTTGACGGTACACATAGAAAGCTAATTTATGATTTTATGGAACATAAGGCAACACGTTTGTTTGTACCAAGTTCAATAGCGTAATGGACGTCTCCATTAGTGCAGCATTGGACAAAAGTAGTGTACTGAGTTCACGATATGATAGTTTTCAAATCCCATGGTCTGTAATTTTACGTATTTGTTCTTCATTCTTTATAATATATGGATTATGTCTGAAATAAAATTAGAATAATAATTGTATATTTTGGGAAATGCTCAAATAAAAGCCAATATTGGATGCTGTCCTCTCAATCGAAAAATGCGGATATCTCATAATACAATTGTAGTTATGTCTCATCGCGTCCACTGATTTTATATTCTTTAAAATCGCACAAAATTGTTACCTGATCACGCAGGAAAATTCTAGAAATTTAGAGCGCAAATGGTTCACAATGTCATACATTTGTTGATTGTGCGATTTCACAGAAAGTTTTAATGCTGTGTTGGTTTCAAACGCTTAAATAAACGTTAAATGAACAATTCAAAACAATGGTATTATGAGATGTCAGTATTTTTCACTATTGAATACAGAATTCAATACTGAATATTTTCAATGTTGATTTGGCCATTTCACGTGCAGTAACGGATTCATGTACATTTTCGATCAATTGTTTATTACAGAGACACTTATATATAAATTCATTAAAAAGGAAGCAAGGATATGACATTTTCTTAGGTACGCAGTATAGCAGGATATGGATGTTTACACAGTCCCTAGAGGGCGCTCCCCGCGTACCGCGTTGGCTTGTGTGTAATTGGACAGTTTCGTCAATCTACGCGTTGCTACGTAGCATTCTGCAGCATTGTTTTCGTGTTCATTTACGAGAAGCTATTGAGCAGAGTATTTTCGTAGTTAAAATAACAGCATTACTTGTTTATTGCAGTAATCATAGTCGTAGTTGTACAATTCCACTACATGCATAGCGAGGGGTGAAACCCGCCAACCTCTCTCAGGTGCATGTCAAGACAATTCCGGAGGCGGAGCTACGTCACAAGACGTTCCACGTTGCTAAGACACGCACCACTGTACATGTATTTCTATGGGCTCTGTGCGCGCTGCTGTGGAAGGCTGGTCGAGCCGGTGAAAATTCGAGAAAGCAACACAACTCAACTTTGAAGTAATCCTGAACAACCAAATTTATATATGTTACACACGTAGGGCTAATCGTGTTACACTGTTAATGGGAGTCCCAACAACTATCCCAAAGTACCGTTTTCTGTGAGTTTTTGGCCTCTGTTTTCACCGCGTGGGTTGTCAAGCGGTGAAAATACCCGGATGTCCGCCCCCGAGGATACCAACCTAATACAAAGACAATACAACAATTTCGAGCCAATGACAACCTAATGCCAAGACAATATAAAAATATCAAGACAATGCCAACCTAATGCAAACTTCATTATATACAGAAGAAAACACTCAAATAAACCAAACAAAAATAATGTCGGCACTGATCTCATCCCATACATTCAGGCTTACTTCCCTGTGAGCCAAAACTCACCTTTTCAAGTGACTTCCTCAATTAATGTACAGTAAAATGGAGTCGCGCCGACCACATATACGTTCGCATCGTAATATGGCGTTGAGGCATTCAGTCGTTCGGTTGGTTGGAATTGTGCTCTTAGTTTTGGCTATGGTGGCGTTGCCAGCAGCAGTGGCCTCAGATAACTGGTTTACGGCTTGTGTACACGCCCAAAACGGAAAAACAGCTAAGATTGGTCTGTGGGGGATGTGTGTCTACGAGGATAACATTGGAGACGATGCCCCGACACTTCCCTGTTTTGACTTTACATCTGTACCAGGTAACGCAGGTATCTCAACATTAGTTTCAATCGTAAGAATAGCTAGCTACGATTTTCTACAATAGCGATGCATTACAATGCAGGACGAGTGTCTTACGTTGCTGTGTTAAATTCTACCTCTATCCCCGTATACTCGCAGTAGTAACGTGTACATATCACCCAATTTGCAACGAGAAACGTCCGTTCTCTTTACTATAAATGTTTGTTGATTGATTCACAATATATTATTTGCCATTTAGACTACATCAGTGCATGCCGGGCTTTGATGGTGTTATCATGTATTTGTGCGGTGGCTAGTTTTGTTAGTGCGTTTATTGGCCTGATTAAAGATGACGTTCTACTTCGTGTGGCTGGATCATTCCTGATAATAGCGAGTGAGTACCCCGCACATATCTATCAAGATGTAATAATTTGACATGTAACACTTCACGGACCTTAAATTTATATCAAGTTAATAACCAATGCTGCATAATCTGAAATAATATTACGTTTATTCCGGGGTGTTCAGGTTATACGCGCATCTTGATTTTTAATTTATCTTGACTTTAAAGTTATATCATTGGAAATCTGAATTCTTCATATTACGGTGTTATATACATCGATAATTGACCCCGACCAGCTATATTTGTGTGTACAGTCAGTAAATGTGCTTCCATAATTCAATTTGAGCGCCCTTGTTGAAATATACTGCAAAAAAAGAGCAATATTTTTTACAGCATTATGCGAAACATAATCAGAACAAAAAATAGCGTGTAGACAAAAAAAAAACGTGCGATAGGGGAAGCGTTTGCATGAAATATGATTTATGTAATTATTCTTATATTCTTTAGAGAATCATATTACACAATTGTTTCACTTCCCCCATCCCGTTATTCACACAATGCACTTGAACACAGATGCAGAACAGTATGAGGTATTTCCTCTTGCAATTAATTGAATCTACATTAAGCTTAATGTGTCTACACACACAGGTATTTTATCCTTCATTGCTATCATCGTGTTTCCCGTTAAGTTTGAGTACCATCTGGATGACCATGGTCATCTTGAGGATATCAGATTACGATGGGGAATGTACGTCGCCATAACAGGATGTGTGTTATCAAGTATTACCGCAGTACTTATGTTCGTCGGTAGTGTCCGTCGCAGTAGTCACAAGGGAGCTGTTTGGAACAAACCGGAGTATTTACCTGAAGAAGCGCAGACGTTACTCATTCAAAGTAACTTTTACTGATTTAATAGTGAATGGTTTTACTAATGAATTAATACGCATTATAGTCAAGTGGAGCTACGATGTTTCCGTTAATAATAATTCCGAATTTCCAAGACTACGCCACTGCATTGTTACAACCCTTGATTATAGCGTTTTCTATTCACTGCGAAATCCCGCGTGCTATACACTTTTCATGATTGTCAATTTTGATGAAGTAAAGATATCCTAATGCCATATTTCTCTCTGCAAAACAGGAAATTCGGCAAAAATAACAAATTCAAAAATAAATCAGCAGACGAACGTCCATACCACGTCTTTCTGCATGACGCGAGATCTCGCAGTCAACGGAAATTCGTTCTTTACCACACTTATTTTCGGTGTCAGAATTAAGATGCAGTATGTCTTTATATACGTGTGTCAATAGATGTATAAATCTATTTGAGATATTGTCTATTTCTCGATGACGTATGTACATTCGATTTCCCTATTGATATTAATTCACCTTGTCGAATCGTTAGATCGTTTTGCATATTTCTTTTTCTATTTTGGTATTATAATATATTTACTAGTTCACCTTTTTCATTTGTATGAGTAACTATTCTTGAGTTTTAGAGGCTTTAAATGCTTCAGTTTGTCTTCCTTTGAATACATAAGAAAACGAATTTACAGTATAAGAATTCACAGTATAGATGTATAAGTCATACATAATGAATGAAATTTGTCGAGCAAGTGCTTTTTTCACAAAAATATACATCAATGATGTCAACAGGTCACTAGACATTGACCCCATTTTCGATAAATTATATATATGTTTCAAATAACCACTAAATAGTCATAACCTGCGCTAGCGCAAAATAGCGCGCCGCTACAGCGTCCAGTATCGTATATTTAGTACATGTGTATGAATGTCCCCTATATAACTAGAAAAAATAATTAAAAAAAACCTGACTTCCAGATCAATTTCAACTCGTTTTTCAAATATTAAATTAAGATACATTTGAATGAATGGAAAATGTAAAAACAATAATTATATTTAAATTACCTTTAAAAAATATACATTTTATCAAATTTGAGTGCAGTAGTTCTATAGACTATTGAATTATTTGTCGACTTCTTTTGAAAAGTGATTTAAAATGATTTCTATAGAAAGACTTCTATAGATTCATATAGGCTGCTTGAAATATTATTTAATTTTTTCTTTGGCATAGGATTTGTAATAGATTTGTTTTGACCATGGCCGAAAAAATAGTAAGACAGATAGTAAGCTTTGTCAGTTTGGCTATGAGATCATGAGACTGACCACAGATGGCGCACTTACAGCAGCCCCACTGCAGCTCCACCTGTTGTTTGTGATCATACTCTCACAATATTTCTACTATTTTCGATGTTTATGACGCAATAAAAGATGATTGTTTAGACTACTGGTTTTAGACGAGATTTTTGTTCGTATCACGTGGGACAAAACATGAATTTTAAATTTCTTGTTCTGTTCTTTGGAACTCCAGTAAAAATCCAATTCAATAAACCCCAAATATAAGACGTATGTAATATTCATATTGCACATGTCCAGTAACATTTTGGAGCATTATCCCTTGGGCCTAGTATAGAAAGTCATTGCTTTGTTCTATAGGTCTTGTGTTGGCTTTCTATAGGAACATTGTTCTACATGATTCATAGATGGTTTCCTTTAACAATCCCATGACAATCCCATATTCTATGGACCTACCCTTAAAACGTTATAGGAATCAGATTCATAATCTTACAGGATTTTGAGTAGGACTCCTATGGGACATGTCCAATAGGATTGTGGAATACTGTCTTATAGGAAATGAATAGGATTCCTATATGACTTTAAATGGGATTCCTATAAATAAGTATGATTCCTATATGTATCCTATTCATAATCCCATAGGACTTTGTGAAGGTTTCCTATAGGAATTCCATTCAAAATCATATGTGAATCAATGAGCAGTTTACATAATCCCATAGGACTTTGTGAAGGTTTCCTATAGGAATTCCATTCAAAATCATATGTGAATCAATGAGCAGTTTACATAATCCCATAGGACTTTGTGAAGGTTTCCTATAGGAATTCCATTCAAAATCATATGTGAATCAATGAGCAGTTTACATAATCCCATAGGACTTTGTGAAGGTTTTCTATAGGAATTCCATTCCAAATCATATGTGAATCAATGAGCAGTTTACATAATCCCATAAGACTTTGTGAAGGTTTCCGATAAGAATTCCATTCAAAATCATATGTGAATCAATGAGCAGTTTACATATTCCTATAAGACTTTGTGAAGGTTTCCTATAAGAAATTCATTCAAAATCATATGTGAATCAATGAGCAGTTTACATAATCCCATAGGACTTTGTGAAGGTTTTCTATAGGAATTTCATTTCAAATCATATGTGAATCAATGAGCAATTTAGATAATCCCATAGGACTTTTTGAAGGTTTCCTTTAGGAATTCCATTCACAATCATATGTGAATCAATGAGC